GTAATAACATTGTTGGTTGCATTTCTTTTTCTCGAAAATTCAAATAAGAAAAAAAATCATTAATAACATTGTTGGTGTGTAATTTAATCTTTTTCGAAACCTTCCAGAACAAGAGATCGAGATGACGATCCCCGTTTCGACTGAGTACACGGCGGGGACCACGACCAACAAGTACGAAATGTGCTTCTACATCGGGGCGGTGCACCAGGACGACCCCGCACGCCCGCAGACCAAAATGTCAGCCTGCAGGACCGCCCAGAAATGACCGTGCTTACCAGGTCAGGGTTGAGAGATTTCGGAACAAATGAACCGTCATTCGAAACGTGGACGATTATGTGATGCTTCATTCGATTGGTTCAGACTTTTGATGCTTCTTTTAACTGATTCAGATCCACGAAGCTTCATTTATTTTAATTGATTCAAATTCAAGAAGCTTCATTTGATTGGTTCAGACTTTCGAAGCTTCTATTAACTGATTCAGATTCACGATGCTTTTCGACTGATTCAGGCTTCCAATGCTTCAGTTGATTGATTCAGACTTTTGAGGCTCCTTTCGATTGATTCAGATTCACGAAGCTTCTTTTGACTGACTCAGATCCACGATGATTGACTGATTCATACGCCATTCCATCCATTAATCCTTTTTTTATCCCACAGGACTGTCGGCGGATACATGAACGATGACGAGGATTGGCTGGAGGAGGCCAACCGCCTTGCCGAGCTCATCGAAGCAAATGGCGAGACAGTTTCTCTCAGCCACATGTACTGGTGAGTGTAGTTTATTCAGGTGCAGTTGGTGTTTTTTTCTTTGTGTTTAGATATCCGTGTTTTCGTCCTCCTTATCATCGTCTTTTTTCACCTTATCATCGTCTTTATTTTTTTTTCACTCATCTCCTTCCCTTTTTCTCAACTATTCTTCCATATCACATCTTCACCCAACTCCTTGCATTTAATTGTTTTTTCTTTGTTTAGATATCCGTGTTTTCGTCCTCCTTATCATCGTCTTTATTTTTTTTCCACTCATCTCCTTCCCTTTTTTTCTCTACTATTCTTCCATATCCACGTCTTCACCCAACTCCTTGCATTTAATTGTTTTTTCTTTGTTTAGATATCCGTGTGTTCGTCCTCCTTATCATCTTTATCTTTTTCACCGTACTCATCTCCTTCCCTTTTTTCACTATTATTCTTCCATATCCACATCTTCACCCAACTCCTTGCATTTAATTGTTTTTTCTTTGTTTAGATATCCGTGTTTTCGTCCTCCTTATCATCGTCTTTATTTTTTTTCTCTCACTCATCTCCTTCCTTTTTTTTCTCTACTATTCTTCCATATCCACATCTTCACCCGACTCCTTGTATTTAATTGTTTTTTCTTTGTTTAGATATCCGTGTTTTCGTCCTCCTTATCATCTTTATCTTTTTTCACCTTACTCATCTCCTTCCCTTTTTTTCTCTACCATTCTTCCATATCCACATCTTCACCCTACTCCTTATCCACCTTTAATACCAGGTATTGGTTTAAGGAACATCTATGGCGTATCTTCAGTGTGGAGCAATACGAGAATTTTCCCATCATATGCGCGTGTACCTGGTATCGTGTACTGATGATCCAATATGTCTACAAAGAGGAAGATTAAGTTAAGATTAAGATTAAGTTAAAGTAATTCTGTAACGAAATGAGAGGAAGAGAAACATGAAACATTATTTTTTCTGAGGAATATGTTTTGTGCCAGCGCCATCTAGTCTAGGCGAGGTTAAGTCAAATTAGTAAGTTATATAGATTAGTGACCAGGCTGAGTGTGAGTCATCTCACGCCAAGGATAATGCTGTAGGTCAATTGAACTTTTTTCGGGTTTTTTGTCCTCAGGTTTAAAAGAAATATTCAGTATTATGGTAAATATTTTGCATTTTTGATGAAATGTATTGAAGAGGATTGCAATATAATTAGTATGCAAAAAATGATTGTTAAAGATTTGATGGATATAACGCAATGAAAGTTAATTTCTCTAGAGAAAATGACAAGACTGCCGAATATGAATCATTTTAGTAAAAAAAAAATATATGAGTCACTGCCTTACATAGTATTTTACGAGATAGTGCAACTACGTCGTTTTCGCCCATCGTCTAGCTATATACCAACTATCTGTTTATATCCTATTAGTTATTTTTATTTAGAATTTTCCAGGTATTCCGAATATTTAGCGATTTATTTACTTATTCCATTTCGCCCATCCGTCTATCTATAACAACTATCTATTTATATCCTATTAGTTTATTTTTATTTAGAATTTTCCAGGTATTCCGAATATTTAGCGCTTTATTTACTTATTTCATTTCGCCCATCCGTCTATCTATACCAACTATCTATTTATATCTTTATAGTTTATATTTATTTGGAATTTCCAGGTATTCCGAATATTTAGCGATTTGTTTACTTATTCTTACTTTCCTTTCTCTCCGCCAGGGTTGGTTATGACGCGCCGTTCAAGTTCTGGAACCGCCGCAACGAGGTCTGGTTCGTCAAGAACTAAAGTCCGCTCGAGTTTCTTGTTCCAGGAAACGAAACAGGAACAAAATGAAATTAAAAAAACAAACTTTGGTGATTTACGAAGGAGAACAAAGGAAGATAGAGAGAAAAATGAGGCGCGGAGGGACGAACAGTGCAAATCATCACATCATTTTCATCATCTTCGACTGTCTCGTGATTATTATCTTATTGAGATTACTTTGTGTTAGATGTGTCAGTGCATTTTGTAAGTGATTAAAGTATCATACTTATTTTGTGTTTATAAATAACCAAAACATGCATGGAGAAAACAAAGACTTCATAAAAATCATTCTTGAAGAAAGTAATCATTAAAGTCTTACAATGGCATGAGAATTATATAAAACATAAAAAAAAAAAATGTCATCCGTGTGAAAAAAATAATGTATTTTGTTCAAGACTTACATAAAACTGATCTTAACCTCCTTTAAAGATTTTTTAAAAATTAACAAAAAACTGAACAAGTTAAACAACAAGTAATAATAAAAAAATATATTCAAGCCAATTCTCATGACAAAAACAAACAACAAAACACAAAAAAAATTGTGCAAGCCATTTTCACCACAGATAAACACCAGAGACACAGCCACCACCCCAGTGCCATTAATCCTGGCATGTTTGACGT